TGGATTGTAAAAGCAAATCACATAAGCAACACAAGTATGTAGCTTTCTTACAGTACTAGATGAAAAACTCTTTCCAGGAAACATATATTTTTTCTGCAAGAGAAATAAGTTACCTTATATATACATGCCAAGAACACAATTCACAACAAGCAGATTTAAACTAATTCCTGAAAAGCCCTGAGATGCACTCAAATTTGTAATACTTAGAAATAATGCAAGCTTAATTCAAGTGCTTTAAATTGATGCTGGATTAAATGTTAAAGCCAGGATTTCATATGGCTGGGTGCAGGGCCCTGTCTTGTTGGATCGCTGTGGTGCTCACAGACACACACAGGGCTGAGGAGCCAAGAACTGCTTAGAAATTGTAAAGGGAAAGCAGGAGATAATGCATACAATATTTATGCACAGTACATATGATGGCAATGGAGCTGTGATAAGCTTGTGCATATCCTGCTAAAACCCTGCCACAAACCTTAAATAAAATATAAGTTTATTTGTATAAAACCGGGTGGCGTAGTTCCCATAAATTCTTTTATGCCAAAGGCTTGTAAGAATAAAAATTACGGAGGCACTTCTTCCCAAAGAAGTGTTCTTGTTGCTACAGTGTTCCACTCTCTGCCTACTTCCTCTTTCTGGGAAAGCGCTGGAGCAGCTAACTATAACACTGATAGCACAGAACTCACACATTTCAAAAAAAAGAAAAAACAAGAAAAAAAAAAGGAAACCTCTTAGAAAAGGGATATATTTTGCAGAACAGTAGAAACACCTGATATTCATGATCTCAAAATTAACTGTAAAATCTATGTCTGTCCTAATATTCTTACAAACACGTTATATTCAGTGTTCCACACAAATACAATACCAGGTTGTATTAATCAATGGATTGTGGAACACAGGCAAATCAGTATCATTCTGATTTCAAAATAAAACTCTGAAATTTCTACCCAGAAAGTCCTGTTCATCACTGGAAACCTCTGTGCTGGTAGAGCTAGTATTTGTCATGCATGTCGATCAGTATCAATGATACAGTGTCATATTCACAGAGCTATCTAACAAATCAGTTGACATACTTTTTAGTAGCTTGAAAACATTCAATTTTTGTAACTCAAAATGATCTGATTCCCAGTTTGTTAAATGTGATCTTAACTGTTTCATGTTTTGCCCTGAAATAACTGTTTTTCAAAAAATGTCACCTTACTTTCAAAAGAAAGTTCAGTGCTATTCACTTGTACCATTCAAAAATAAGTGTTTCTCACTAAGAGGATTTTTTCCCTGCAGTTGTTTCCTGTTTTTATTTCTTCATCACAAGAAGTAATCTTGCATGTTCAAATAATCTCCAAGTGTCAGACACTGTTTTTATTTCCTCTTTCATGTGATTTCATAATTTCATTCTGTTCATTTGCTTCTCTGGCTGCTGTTTAACTTCTTGCTCTTTCACTGTCATACTGTATGGATCATATTGCCGTTCTAACTGCTCACAAAGCCATCTCCTTGCTGTATTTGACTGTTGGCTTCTCATCTACTTTGAGTATATTTCAAATCACCAGGCTGAGGTTTTTCACATAGATCTTATAAAGGAATTCAGAGCAATTCCTTGAAATTGCTGCTGAACTAAGTGTTGTTTATAATCTAAAATGAGTCTGGGTGCAAGGAAAATAAAATGTGGCAAAGGAAATGCCAATTTTTAAAAAGGGCTGCAAATCTGTTTCTGGGTAATACCACAGGTTAGTAGGTCTGTCTTCCATACAGAGACATTAGGAAACTGAGCAAGAATAGGATTAGTAGGAACTTTGATAAAGATCATAGAGCTTTTGCAGAGAGAAATCATTGCAGTCTCATAAAAATGACAGCATACTTACTGAGACTTTCAAAAGGCTTTTTCACAAATGCCGTCATCAAAAGCTCTAAAGAAATAAAACTGTAATAGGATAAAAGTTATGTTCTTGTCATAACTGTTTAAAAGATGGCAGAAAAAGCCTAGGTGTCAGTATTCATCTTTCAAAGTGGGAGGACATTCAATAGGGTTCACTGAGGCTCTGTGCTGAGACCTGTGCAGCTCAACATCATCATAAATAACAATAAAAAGGAGATTAATAGAGAGATAATAACATTTACATTGAATGGAGGAGTCTTCAGGATTGTCAAATAGAAACCTGGCTATAAAGAATTGCAGAAAAGTCTTGTAATATTGAATAATTAGGTAGTAAGATAATAGATGGAATTCAATGGTGACAAATGCAAAATAATGCACATAGAAAAAAAAAAACAGACCTAATTACACTCACACATTGCCAAGCTCAAAATTGCTATCCAGTAGCTAACAAACATTGGGCACAGGATCTAAGATGAACTGTGATAAATCTCTGAAAATGTCAGCTCAGTGGTCAGTAGCAATTAAAATGACAAACAGTTATTGTTATGAAATTGAGGGTAAAGCAGAACACATCAACATGCCCTCTGCAAATTCATCGAGCTTCTGCATTGCAAATACAGTTTGTCATTCTCATCCTGCTCCTTCATCACTGAAGATAATAAAATGAGAAAAGACTCAGGAAAGGAAGTAGAGGTGGTCAGAAGTATATTTTAGCAGATTAACAACTACAGGCTAAATGTTCTAGGACTCTTCAGGCTGGGAAAGAAACAAGAAGGAAATGAGAGAAGTCTATGACACTGGAAGATGAAAGGAGTGAATATCATGGCAACTTACAGTGCAGCAGGTAGGAAGCATGAATGAACTGTCAGGTAGCAGGTCTGAAGAAACAAACAGGACTTCTTTTCCACAAAGTATAATTAAATTAAAGTATAATATGAGGAACGTACTGCCTGGGACTTAGTGGAGACCCAACCTATACATAGTTTGGAAAGTAACTTGACAAGATTGATGGCAGAAATAATGACCTGATGCCCAGAAAGCCCCTAAGCTGCTGATTTTTGGAGGCTGGGAGGGCACTGGAACAGTATGTGGAATAAGATGGCCCTGGCTGCGACAGCAGCGCAGGCCCCGCTGCTGCTCAGCGCGTGGATGCTGCACAACTTGCTGCAACGCAGCTGAAAGCAAGCGTGCGGCTCCTGAGCTCATCATGGCCCAGTACGGGGAAATACAAGTCATTTCAAGACTTTTTCTGCGATTAAAGCTTACTCCTCATTTTTGGAAGACGATCTCAAAAGGAAAATTGTTAAATTAATATCTTTATTCTATCATACTTTGAGGTTTTCCATTTCAGTGCTTCTTTAGGAATGTTAGTATTGATTGCTACATACTGAGTTTTACAAAGAGAAAACAAAAAAAAAATCCATTTTCTCCACAAGGGCAAATCTGCCTGTGCTGAGCTGACAAGGAAGACATTCAGGGCTCACTACCTCTCTGGTGGGATATTCTGCATTTCTTAGCAGTTGTTCTTCAGCCTTGTCTAGTGGGGTTTTGCCCCTGCAAATCTTAAAAACCCAGAGCCACAAAGGCGGTGAGCTCTGGCGCTGGCCGTGAGCAGCCCGAGGGGCAGCATAGACCTCCCTCTGTGCTGGGCACGAGCACGGGATCCACAGTTTTGCTGTCACTTTGTTTCTCCTTTGCGGGATGGCAGCACCGTGTGCCAGCGCCCCTTCCTTCCTCCCTGGCGCAGCTCCCCTCCTCTGCCCCGCTCCAGGTCCTTCTCCTTTCCAAGGCACAGAGCTCCCGGGAGGCCGCTCGTCCCCTCCGCTCTTGGCCTTTATGTGTCTGCCCATGCATGACTTGCATATAGGAGAGACAGTGCAGAAAATCAGTCAGCATCAGAATGAGGATTGTAAGGGATCCCGCTGGTAGTGAGGAGGTGGGAGGTGGAACACGACACAGGTGAGGCCCGCGCCAGCAGCGCTGAGGCGAGGGCTCGCGCCAGCTGAGCAGGCCCTGCTCACAGCGCGTCTTCTAATGAAGGGAAAATGAGGGTGATTTGGCTCTGTTGGAAACATGATGGTCTCTTCACAGAGCATTTGTCTGTCTTCCAGGCAGGAGTATATCACGCACTCAGTACAATTTCCCTCATTTGCCATAGCCTACTTATTTCAAAGTTAATATATCTCTGTTACAAAGACAGGGAAACTAGCAACTATGTGTGTTTTCTGAGGTTTTCTGAGCATGATTGTTTTGGCTTAATTGATCAGTTATTTAATCCCTTATTAATATTCTTCTGGCCCCGTTCAAACAGCAGCAAACATATTAATCAGGCACATTACTCTCATTTGTTTGGCTGTATTCTGGACATGCTTGTTTGCTTTTTGATCTTTAGTCATACCTTATTAAAGCAATATGGTCTTATCAGTAGCTTTAACCAAAACAAAATTAGTATGTGCAGGCTTTAGGAAGGGTAGGAGATGATGGAGAACTGAAGCATCTCTGACCTCAGAAATGCCACCACAAGGAATGAGACCAGAGGTGGCAGCATTCAAGCTCAGATACAGTTTTGAGCTGCGGAACAGGACATGGAGAAATAAGAAAGAAGGCAGCCTGCAGCAATGGGTCAAATAATGACCGAATAGGTCAAATAATGACCCCCAACAGAGGGAGTTTTGTAAAGACCTGGTGGGGATGGACCTGCCTGTCCATGAAGTAAGAACCACCCCTGGATAAGACCTATGATACAGAGCTAGGAGAATAAGGAGTTAGTGCAATAATCTTGAAGCCTAGAAATGAAGCAAGGCACAAAGAACAGAGCAAGGCTGTGAAGTAGACCAGAATTAAAGCCTTCAGTAAAGTATGTTTTCTTTACAAGGAGTTTTCTTTTGCTTTCTGTTTTATGCTGATTTTGGAGGAAGTGCTGCATGAATTTCCTTCCCCGGATTTCCAGGCCTAGGAAAAAGTGAGACATAAGTAGCTAAACGTTTCTAAGAGTGTCCTCATTTTTTTCCAGAGCTGAGCTATCCCATAGAGATTCACTACCATTTCTTCCATTTTGCATATGACAAGCCTTTGACGCAATAACTAGTGGTTTCTTTTTTTTCACTTATTCTGTTGTGTTTTCCAGGGTTTGGCATGACCACCCCAGCCACCGTCGGAGGCAAAATTTTTCTCATCTTTTACGGCCTTATAGGATGTGCGGGGACCATTTTATTCTTTAACCTGTTCCTGGAGCGGCTGATCACGGTCATAGCATATGTCATGAAGTCCTGCCACGAGAGACAGCTGAGGAGGAAGGGAGTCCTTCCTCACGACGGCCGGCGGGGCTCAGCGGGCTCCGAGGCGGACAGCCTGGCGGGCTGGAAGCCCTCCGTGTACTACGTCATGCTCATTCTGTGCATAGCCTCGCTCATCATCTCCTGCTGTGCCTCTGCTATGTACACGCCGATTGAAGGGTGGAGTTACTTCGACTCACTTTATTTTTGCTTTGTGGCCTTCAGCACCATTGGGTTTGGTGATCTGGTCAGTAGCCAGAATGTCCGGTACGAAAGCCAAGGTCTTTACCGCTTTGCCAATTTTGTCTTCATACTCATGGGGGTTTGCTGTATCTATTCTTTATTTAACGTGATCTCTATTGTCATCAAACAGTCTATAAACTGGATATTAAAGAAGCTTGACTGCAGGTGCTGCCATAGATGCCAAAGCAAATTATTTAGGTCACGGAGGAACGTGGTAATGCCAGGAAATGTGCGCAGCCGGAGAAACATCTCCATCGAGACCGATGTTATCAATGAGAGCGACACAGACGGACGCCGGCTGTCAGGCGAGATGATCTCAATGAAAGACTTTTTGGCCTCCAACAAAGTTTCACTGGCCATCATGCAGAAACAGCTGTCAGAAAGTGCCAATGGCTACCCAAGGCAAATGAGCTGCAATTCAAAGCAAAACGGATTCTCTGGTGGTGTTGGAGCCCTAGCAATTATGAATAACAGACTGGCAGAGACAAGTGTGGATAGGTAAAACTAATGATAGTAACTATGAAACCGTCTCTAACAAGCATAGAAATAACATGCAGCAAGTGGAAACAGCTTGGGCAGAGTGCCCCCGGGAGGGGAAGAGTGACTTGGCCAGCATTCCTTCTGCACACAGATCTCCCAGTCTTTCTTGGGCTGTTGGTTAATATCTTTGTTCTTTGAATTGCAGCAATCTCAGCCTTCCTTCTTCTCCTCCCTCCTGTAGTCTCCCAAGCAGACTACAGCAGGAGGAATTTCATTTGGCCTTTGCATCAATTTTCCATGCTCTGTTTTCCTCTGTCAATGTGAAATACAGGCTTCAGGATAAGAAGTAAGTGATATTGGAAGAAATCAAGAGTGTCCACTGAACACATTCTTAATTAATTCAAAGATTGTTTTGACCTTTTGGTCTTACTCTCTTCAGACCTTTTTTCTGAATGTAGCTTATCTGAGACCAAAAGAGGAATCACTATAAGCCTTTTTCTGTGATAATGCAGATCTAGTTTAATGGAACAGAAAAACAAACTATTTTCTTTTAAATCTCACTTCTTAAAATGTATTCCTGTTGTGAAACGGCTGTGCTTGAAAAGCCAAATCTTGCTGCTACTAATCTTTGTATAAATCTGGAGTAATTCTATTAAAGTTGGTAGAACTACTCTGGAACTATTTTGATATAAATGAGAGGAGTGTTTGGCTCTTAGAATTTAATTTATTCTTGACATTAAAAGGACGCTGTCAAAAGTGATAGAATCAAAATGCATCCTACTTTTGTTTTCTCCTGTCTGTTTTCAAAACACACATGATTTTTTTCTACTACTTTTTTCCTCTAGAATTGAATCACTCCAGTTTTCTGTTTCAAAAAGATTAAATTAAATTGAAAATCACCAAACTGACAAGTTGTGTGAACAATTGCACAATAACAACTGAGGAGCTTTCCAAATCTGTGTTCATATTATGCTCTCTTGTGACTGTAGCAATTGAGCATCCATATTATGTAACACAACTAATAACTGTGTTTACGCGACAGGTTTTATCATGCAATTACGCCATGCCAACTTTCCAGTGTATTATTATAAGCGACTAAGACCACAAAATCATTTTGGCAGCGTTTTTTTTACTTTTTATGTGATTTTGTTATTTCTACCCTGTTTTTCTGTCATTCAGTGATGATAATGACAGGGTCTTGATTGGGGAAATAGAAAATATATAATTCCTCATTTTTCTTAATGAAATGCTATGAGTGTTCATTATAAGTAGAAAGGGGACTTCAAGGAGAACTATCAAAACAATGAGAAGAATATGAAAACAGGAAACTAGATGATTTTTAATGACAGTAAAATCATGCTTTATGTGAGGTAGATGGAAACATAAGGGGTTAAATTAATAAAAAGTTTAGTGAGAATTTAAGGAAGCCTGGGCTGAATTCCTGGTTTTCCTCTAGTCCTACAGTGCATTAAAGCCAAACAGTATATGAGGCTGCAAATTATCTGATTCAGTCACAAAGGACCTGATCCAGTTCTCCCTGAAGAGAATAGCAGGTGAGTGAGGATTAAATGTTTTCTCACTTCTGATAAGTAGAAAACCTTCTAGAATACTTCAGTTTTAGGGAATGTATTACACCATTGTGCACTTTTCAATTTCCCTTATAAGGAACAATGCAAATAGCCTCTTCAGTTTAATTTGTGCTATATCCTTTTTCTTACTCTTGGATAAAAACTCCTGTGTTTAGGGTTCCTAATAATATAGGATAATATTTAATACCTATTTTAAACACTATTTGTACTTAAAAATAAAAATGTACCTCATAGAATCCTTTCATATAACGGAATAGAATCTACAAGTTGGATTAAATAATTCTACTTAACTGTTGAAAAGAATTGCAAGCTCTATCTGACACTTTACAGATAAAAAGTCCTAATTAATAGTCAAATCCTTCTGTCCATAGTTACACGGACAGCTTCAAAATGAAGCCATTAGTTCAGATTCTGATATCACTCGTCTGTGCAGCAGCAAAATATCCCTGAGGGGATCCCTCCACATTTGCATTCACATAAAATCAGCATCAGCTCTCAAACGCTAACTTTGGTGAGTAAAGCAGCCTGGTTTGTTTCTGGTATTCTTAAATAGTAGCAAAAAAAATGCCACTGAGATATTTTACAAGATATTATGATACCCAAACTCCATTATATTGGTATGTTTTTTTTTTCTTACAATAACTTCATTTCATCCTTACTGAATGTTAAAATACTTGGATATAAGAAGTGAATAGTACCACTCTGAGCCTTCTTCCTGTATTTGCTCGCTGCCTGTAACCCTAATATTTCACTGTAATTGAACTAATCCTCATGTTGCCAACATTAGAAATAGTCTAGGACTTGACTCTCTGTTTCATCAGGGCAGATTGCCCCTCATCCTGGGCAGAATGTGAGGCTTAAAAAGTGAGGCTTACTTTGCTGTTTACATTTGTTAGTAACTCTGAGTTTCAAGTACCAGTCTTTGCTGAGCAGTGAAGACCAGAGAAGTTATCCAAAAATACTTTCTTTTCCAGGTGAGTAAGGCAATGCCACATTATAATCTTAAATATTTAACCAAATCATGCAAGTTTAATTAGTCTATTTATTACGTAGCTCTGTGGCATCATTAATGAAGGTTCTGGCTTCCATCGAGATTTTGCACCCAAACTCTTTCATACCTACTTAGTCTTCAAAATCTGGCTTTGGAAGTCTAAACACAGCACAAACGAGACAGTTGAAATATGACTTGAGGTGACAATTTTATCAAAACTGTGAGAAAGAAATAGAAAAACATATATACACTGATGGAAACTGATAGAACATTATAATCTATAAAGTCAATTCAGCAGAGGTTATTTAGCTTTTAGAATAGGACATATCCAAGTATCAGATCATCAAGGGGTCTTTGGGTTGTTTCCACTGCTCCTAAGATATGATCCAACAACATTCCCCCTTTCTGGTCTTTGTGATATTAACCTGTGCTTATTCATCACCACAGAGGCTTATCACCTATTTTCAGTAGATCTGAGGACATCCTGGCTATGAGAGCAACAACTGACACATAGTCTAAAAAAAAGGATTTATCCAGCTGGAGATTTTCCATGTGCACTAGCTCTGCCTTCCTTCACTCATCCTGGCCTCTCACTCTCCCAAGCATTGGCTTCTCCATGACCCAAGCCTGCACCATGCAAGGCATTCTGCATGCTTTTGTGGTCCAATTGCGTGACCACTGAAGATAAAAATGGAATAAATGCCCTAATTTTGTCTAATCATTTCTATTCAGATTTGAACTGCTATTCCAGAAATGAAGGACTGTGCGACCTTGCACCAGAAGGTGATATTATCCCCAAAACGCATCCGCCTTGCTACCTGGAGTCCCACCTCTACAAGCCATGCTGACTGTTGAATGGGGTAGCTTTACCCACAAAGCTAAAAGAATTCTCACGGAAAATATTTGAGGGGTTGAAAATAAATCAGTAGGACTGGAAAGGGAAAACTCTCTCTCTAGTCCAGTGATACTACCGTAATAGTTTTTCTTAAAAAAAAAAAAATGGCCAGGGAAATCCCAAAGAGCTCAGTTCATAATATAGCAGCACATTACTAAGGTCTTAGAATAGGGGAGATATGAGCATATATGTGCCAAAATAAACCAGAATTTATCATAGGAGTGCCAAATGCCCACTCTGCATGAAAAACAGTACACAACAAAAGTTCAACAGGCATGAACACATTTCTTGTAAATGCCTCTTTCAAGTCATGGCAAGGAATTAAATGAAACGCTATCAAATTAAAGCCAGGGATGTATTTTTCAGAACCATCTAATCTGAGTTTTTATTCTGTATTGCTTAGATTGCACTGGAATCATTATTTGACAATATAGTTATTGTATTTTAAAATATTTAATGCTAAACAAAGTATGACCACATAAATGAACTAAAGATCGTTTTTTAGGTATTTTCAGTTAGTCTTAGCTTATGAAAAATCTATGTACAAAATTCTTTGCTGGATAATGAGGTGTCAAAGGCATTACATTAATTTGTCTCTTCCAAGGACATGGTTCTGTGTTTACAGGGATAGGAATAGTCTTTTCAAAGGCATCTAAGGTCTCCTGAAAGTCAGCTCACTTCCTACCACACATTGATTTGCAGTAGAAGGTGGGTACCTAATTCCCTTAGGTAATTGCAGAAGAACAGCCAAGTTTTATATTTTGGATTTAAGCTGACCCGTCAGTGTCTCTTGAAAAGTTCAAGCACTTGGAACAGGATTTCAGTGCTTAATAGCGAAAGTCATTTGTTTAAAAGCCTTTTATGGTGAAAGCTTTGCATCAACCAAATAGCACAAGCAACGTTTACAATTTCTTTCTTTCATTTAATACTGCCCTCCACCTGCTTTAATTATATTTTACACATTTAGAAATTGAATAATGATAGAAGGTTGGGCTGGGCACGAAAAGCAAACTGGCTACTTTTCCCAGATAGAATTAATCAAGGTCATGCTGGGGAAAGAGCTCTCTGATTAGCAATATATGAGAATAAGTTTCAGTGGAAGGTGGAGGGTTGTCTGTGCAGCCGCTCTGCAGGGCCGGGGCAGAGGGACCCTCGCTGTGTCCTGCCCCTGCCTCCTGTGTGTGGAGGGCAGCACAGTGCGGCGCAGCTGCCAAAAGGGCTGAAATTGCAGCCGGTCCAGTTTCCATCTTTTGTTATTTTGATTTAATTAACCAACATTTGGCGGATGCGATAATTTCTTGGACTCCTTTAAGAAGGATTAAAATTCTTTTGTATAATTCCATGTGAGGTTGTGGAAAATCACGCAGTAAAGGCTTTCCACTTGGCAGAAAAATACTGCTAAACATACCAGTGTTACCTATCAAATTGAAAATTTTGAATTTTCACAGGAGTGTTTTGCTTAATCTGGGAAATAAGAATGCTCTCACTTGTGTCTTCCCTGTTTTCGATATATCTCTTGGCAGCAATGTGTCGCCACACACTTATAACAGTGTGTGCTTACTGTCTAAAAGAACACATTTCACTTGGAAAATTAAGGCAATTGCTT